CCTGACTTTTAGCCAATGGCAAGGTGGAGTTTATTACTATAATTTAAAAAGTAGCAACTTCCAGGTCTGAAAAATGAAACTATATAACTATAAAACGAAGCAGCGGGCAGCAAATAATTATTATAAATGCAAAAGTACTTATTTATAAGACCTTCAATCCCTGGTCATTTTAGGCTGCAAAATTGCAGGTGTTTTTAGCTGAGTGCAAGATCCATCAAAGGGGAAAGAAAACAATATTTTGATCTGGTGTGGTCAGAGCAATTACCATTTCAACTCTGAAACTCAACGAAGGTAGTTTTCCATCACCTCCAATGCATGATGACCATGAAAACAAAATCTGGACACAGGTTACAGGCCAAGTCCTCAAGACAAGTATACTGACGATGTGTGTCTTTATGCTGAGTTTCCAGCCCTCGAGAAACTTGAATAAACCTTCATTACTCATGAATCTGTTGTGTTTTTTCTACAGTGTAAGTTGGAGTTCCAGGGCTGCCTCTCTGGGAAGACGGTCTCAGTGAAGTGTGACGGGCTGTGTCCCTGTCTGCCTGGTCAGGAGCACAGCAAACCAGCACATAGGAACAATAAGGCTGGTGAGTACTGGAGCTCTCAGCTCAATGAAATAAACTATTTAGATATGTAGTTGCTTTTTGTTTAGATATAGGCCAACTCTTTCACAATCCTTTGGACTTCACACATAGCAAAAGGTGTCGATTTATGTTGAATGCTTGTCATTTAGGCTGTTACATAGCTTCTCTTCTTGGTCTCCATGTCAGCTGTGGAGAGCTTGTCAGTCACTTCTGGTTCAGATGGATTTCTCAGATAAAGACAGTTATTACTACACCACACACACACACACACACACACACACACACACACACACACACACACACACACACACACACACACACACACACACACACACACACACACACACACACACACACACACACACACACACACACACACACATACCGTGGTAATCCTTCAAATTATTTCATTCCTTTTCCCCTCACTCGTGTTATTTTCTTCCCCTTCCATCCCTTCACCCCCACCCGTTTTCTGACAGCTACAGGGGGCAGTGATGGAGTGAGTGTGTGTGTCTTATTGTTTGTCATGAAAACAGGATTTCAGCAGATGAATGGAAAGATTCTAGAGGAGAAATGCAATCTAACGTAAAGCTCAGTAGAAAAGGATGGATTGTTATCATTACACATTTCCTCTACTGGGATGGTTTTACTTTGTGTGAGTGCGTGTCCATCACAAATCTTTTCTAATCACTTTTTGATTAGGACTAAAAATGATCCACATCGGATAAATCATCACTCGTCATCAAAATGACGAGTAAAGGGTAACATTTAGCGAGTGATGCTGTAACGGAGACGTGTTTTATCAACTTTATTTATCCCTCCCAGGTTTTTTCAATAGCAACTATAATGATGTGTTACATTTGCTGAGGAATTGACTCTGGGAGTGGATGAATAGAATAATAATCTATTTACAGATTTTTAACAACATCAAAATACAGCATTACACGTTTCCCTATCAGACTCTCTGCTTTTACTCTTTTCAGTACGTTTTCTGTTTAAACTTAGTCATTTCTTATTTTCCTCTCTCTCCCTGGATTTATCTTCTTCTCAATGGTGTCTCTACACTTTCCACCACCATAGCAGGGATGATAGAATCTCTCATTAGATCAGCAACACCAAATGGTAAACAGATGGAGATGGCAGTAGGTGAGGAAAACATTTTGTGCATGTCAGATTGTGTTTCTATGGTAACAGCCAAAAGATTGCAACAGTTTCGTATATGCAATCACTGTGTGTTTACTGATAGCTGGGTTCAAACAGGGTCTGCACATTCCTACCAAGCACCTGCATCTGCAAAGAGTTTCATCCCTTTTACAGTACACAGGGCTGTTTTATTTACAAGCCACAGGAGGTTTTTATCAACGTGTGCGTGCGTGTGTGTGTGTGTGTGTGTCTGTCTGTGTGTGTGGTCTAGCATTACTATACTTGTGGGGACCTAAATCTGTTTAGTCACGTGTGGGGACTCGCCTCCCTTATGGGGACAAAATGGAGGTCCCCATGAGGGGAATCATTCATTTTAGGGTGAAGACTTGGTTAGGTTTAGGGTTAGGGTTAGGCATGTGTTGGTTATGGTTAAGGTTAGGATAAATCTCCAGAAAATGCATGTAAGTCAATGTAATGTCCCCTGAAGTGGTGTGTGTGTGTGTGTGTGTGTGTGTGTGTGTGTGTGTGTGTGTGTGTGTGTGTGTGTGTGTGTGTGTGTGTGTGTGTGTGTGTGTGTGTGTGTGTGTGTGTGTGTGTGTGTGTGTGTGTGTGTGTGTGTGTGTGTGTGTGTGTGTGTGTGTGTGTGTGTACCTCATCTGCATGGAGGGCAGATGAGGTAAGTGTCATTGTGAGTTGACATCAGGAGAGATAATCCAGAACTAATCTAATTACTGTATAACTATAATAACTGTTTAATTCAAGAAAGAGTAAGGCCAAGGAGCTCACTGAGCTTGTATATATTCATATACATTATCATCTTGTTTTATTATTAACTCCTATTATAATTATTCACATTATTATCAGTGCCATCGCAGTACAATTTAATACATTAATTCAGGCAAACAAAGATTGAATACCAATATTTTGTCTTTGCCGTTTATTCAACACTGAAAAAAGAAGCAGTTAAAACGAACCAGTGAAGTCAGAGCAGGTCGTTGATGCATCTGATGAGATTTTAGTCAAGACTCTGTTGGAAATAAATCACTAACTATCTACTGTTTATTTTATAAAGCGTCATTAGTTTACATGTAATTTCTAGTGAGAGGTACATTTCGGATTTCTTGTGCTTATTTATTTCTGACGGTGTCTCACAACTGTCACTTTCACATACTATATTCAAATAAATTTCGGACGCAGCTACATTTTTCAACATGCTTTATTCTTCAGAAGTAAAAGTTTAAATGTATAATTTATCAAGTTGATTATTGAGTGCAGCACACCGACAGTTCAAAAAGGTTTATAGCAAACTTGGTTTTCAGGGTAGGCAGACGGAGAGAGTTTTTGGGGCTGATCCAGGGTCTGGATTGACAGACACGAGGAGCTGGGAGTGAACAGGCAGGAGACTGGGAATCCAGGACGGAGACTGGCAGGCAGAGATAAAGACTTAGCACAGGGAACAGAGTGTTAACGCAGGAGTAGGGACGTGCACAGACATTTTGGGGGGCGGGAGCTCAAGTGAGAAAAAGGGCACTTCCCACAATCATTTATTTAAAAAAAATGTAAAACAAAAAGTTAAATATAGTTGCACATCTCTGACTTACTGATCAATTAATTATACCCTCACACTCACGCAATTGTTTAATACTCAACAGAATTCTACAAAATAATCAGCTAACACAGAGACAATGGTCTTCTTTAGTATTCACTACGCACAAGACCAGACAACAAACTAGTAAAATGAATCGTTATTAAATGAGCAGCCAACAATCAAAATTATGAAGTTACTGTTTAAGACATTACAGGCAAAAAGATTGTTTTTTCATGTACTTGTACATTTTGTTATTTTGGTCTATTTTGCTTCCATGTTTTCTTTCACTCTAATATAAATAAAACTTCCTAGAAACATATATAAATGGTGTTTGTTTTACTACCATGTCTTTCATCTATAGATTTAAAGCTAATCTGCATATTTAAACATAACATTTCTGACTTGACGTAAGTAACTATCTGGGGAAGTTGTGAGGTGATGTGTTTTTGTTTGTTTTTTGTTTTATCCTTTTCACCTGCAATGCCTTGGTAACTGCATGCAAATTAGCCCATTTTAATTCAGATAAGAGATAAGATAGTAGGCTACTTTATTACTAGTGTACTAGTTAACGCCTAATTTGCATATCAATGTGGCGATTGTGATGACGTTATTAGATACAAATGTTACTGTATTCACCTGTAGTGTCTCCCTAAGTACAGTAGGCTACATTAGCCTGTATGCCCATGATACATTGTCTTAACTAAACCTTGAGCTAACTTATCCATTAGCTAGTAGCCTACCTTAGTTAACTATATTTGTTTTTGTCTTTTGGCTAATTGGCTGTAATCTCGAGGCACTGGCAGCTTAGTCATTTGTTCATCACCACTCACCTTCAAACAAGCCAAGAAAAGCCGGCATAACATGGGACTGTAAGGTGGGAGGTGCTGCTACCTGTCTGTCTGAAGTGACTGCCAATGTCCGCACCGCTGTGCGCGAGACGTGGAGGGAGGGAGGGTAGAGAGAGCATCCGAACTTCACAGTCTAATCTCCCGACCTGATGTTTTTATTTTGTATTCAATCAATATATTTTTGGAAAGTGAAACTGTGCGCAAACAGCAGTAGATATATATTCATTTATTTAAATTTTTTTAAAAAGGGGGGAAAGGAGGAAGAAAAAGGGCAGGGGCTCAAGCCCACTTTGATTTTATGTGTGCCTGCGCAGGAGCACAAATACAGGAGTTCTGCAAAAATACTTCCTAAGAGTGTGGCTCCATTTGTGGTAGACAGAACAATCTTTAACTGTGAGGAAAGCCAAAGGTCGATATTGTGTTGCAGTTTATTTCATTATGAAATGCATCTACTGTATGTGCTAGCTGCTGGAGCTCCAGAGTAGGAGAGCCACACCCAACACAGAGGACGACAACATGCAGTATATGGAAGACAAAGGGAGACCACAGGAGAAGAGGGCAGGGAACACACACACAAGGAAAGGCTATATGAGAGGTATAGACTATGGCTGAGGCCCTAACAGATTTTCTAGACCTCATAACATTAGGGGAAAGTTTTTAGGAAAATACGTGGATGTGATCTTTTTGACCATTCAACCACATTCAACATATTTATTATTCACTATAAGAGTCTCTAATGTAGCGTTGTGAAACTGCAGGAGAAATACTAACCAATGCATTTTTAGATATTACCCATATTAGTATTATCATTTGTATTTATTTAAAATAAACATTAGTGAATAATACAGCAGTCTCTGCCATAAATACAGACTCTCATACTGAGACATTTAATGAGTGTCATATTGTCCACTACTGTGTGTGAGAGAAATCTCAGATTCAACAGACGGTAGAAATGTGACACCTTAAGAAGAGTAGCTTCTTTTATAGGAATTGAGGAGGAAGTATACGGAAGTATTTCACAAGCAGCTTGTAGGTGAATCTGTGTGTTTACGTCTCTATCACTCACACCCAATGTTGGTACAGTGAAGTGTGTGCTGCAGTGTGTAATTTATCTGTGTGTGGATATTGTTTTTGATTTGAGAGTGGAATTCAGAATGGAAGACTTCAAATATAAAAAAATGTGAGTACCTTTGCTTCAACCAAAATAATAACCTTTATTATTCACGTGTTTGTCAGTCCCATCCATCACACACTCACTAATCTGTGTGTTGCTCATTCATTTTCTCTCTCTACTCTCAAATGCAGGATTTTTGCAGTGTTGCGTTTACATTTCTCTTCCACTTTATTGTAGGGGTGCACCGAATGGGAAATTCTTGGCCGAAACCGATACCGAAAATAGGAAACAGTTGGCCGAAAACCGAGTG